TTTTTTTTTTTTTTTTTTTTTGAGAAATGTAGCCCTGGCTGGCCTGGCTTTTCTGCCAAGGCTTTCTGAGTTCCAGGATTAAAGGTCTGGCATCAGTAAGATTTGTTAGGGGCTATAAAATGTTACATAGGATTCAGTTGAGCTTTAATTGTAGAATTTTATTGTATGAATATTTCATGTTTTATATATCTTTGCTGTATTAGATATTTCTGCTATTGGCATTTATTTTTTCAAAGAAATGGGCTATCTGGAACTTATGCTCACTTGTAGAAGTTTCAGTATTTTAAAGCTTTGGTTTTATATCTATGTATGTGTATGAATGCCAGACTTGCAGAGGTTAGAAGGCATTAGATGCCTAGAGCTGGAGTTACAGACAGTTGTGAGCCACCCTGTGTGGGTTCTAGTAACCAAACTTGGGACCTCTGCAAGAGCAGTACATGCACTTAACCACTAAGCCATCTTTCCAGCCACATCTCTATTTTTCTACAAATGACATTGTTATAAAAATGCATCACATCAAATCATCAGAAGTGTTCCGTTCTAATTGCTACGTGCCATAGCTGAGTTTCAGGGTGTTCCGCTTTCTACTGAGACGATTAGACATTAATTTACTATCCTAGAGTTTCTAAGTAGTTACGTAAATATTTAATTTCAATGTAACTCAGAATTCATACAAATAAAGTGCCAGAGGAGGCTTGATGTAGCAGAGTTGATTTCGAAGATTTTACTATAGGTATTTGAGACCCTAGTGGTTTCCTTCAAACCATGGCCAAGTTCTAGCCAAAGCACTCTTGAGGGCGTGGCTTCCGGGTGGTTATTCGGCCCACGCTGCCCCGAGCCTGCGCCTGCGCGCCCCGCCCCTGCCTCGCCCCCGTGCTCCCCCCCCCCCCACGCCCTCGCGCGCTCTCCACTTTCTGAAGAGTTGCGGCCGCTCGCGACCCCCAGCGTTCGGGAGGCGCTCAGTGGAGCGGCGGGAGCAGCGGTGAGTACGCAGCGCCTCGGTCTCCTGCGGCCGTCAGGGTCGCGCCTGCTTCTCGCTCTCTGCCCGCCGGCGGCTGCTCCGCCTGAGGCGCGCCGCCTAACGAGTAGGCCGCTCGGCCGGGCGGGAGCCCACCCGGGGCCGCGCTGGCGGCTCGGGACGGGCCCTCGCTTCAGAGCCCCTGGTGCGCCCTCCCCGTGAGGGCGGCCCGCGGCCTCCTGGGCCCTGCGCGCCCACAGCCTCCCGGGAGCGAGCTGGCTTCGTCCTCGCCGGCCCGACTAACAGACTTCGAGGACGGGACTAGGCTCCCGCCTCCCCCACGCTACTTTGGTTGTCGAGTGGGAGTTGGTTTCCCTAGTCCCTCGCCTAAGACACCTCCCGGCTCTCTCTGGTGGTCCTGGCTTTGAACTCACTGCGTGCAAAGATAGCCTCTAACTCGCGATCCTCCTGCCGTAATCAGCCGAGAAAGACTGAAACCTGTGCTATCCACCACTTTGCGTCGTCTGTAGAGCGGCTGAGTTTCCCCCGTGGACGATGACAGGCAGAACCATGCGAGACCCGAGCGTGGTCTCCGCAGGGGTGGAACTGGGCATGAATCCGGTCTCTTGACTCCTATCTAACTGCGGTTTAGTCGTGGTATCAAACACGGGCAACGCTGAGGAGGAAGTGAGCTCGACGTGTAGGGTTTTCGTGTTTCTTTTGAGAGAGAGTGCTTTGTAGTTACGTCAAAGAAAGTCTAGTTTTGGAATCAGATGCATCGTGTGTCGTCTCAGCAGAGCCACTTGCTTTTTTTTTTCTGTTTCCCAACGTGTTAGTGAGTGATGCCTACCATGTAGTAAGAGTTCTTGGGAGGAATAACCTGTAGTGGGTATGAGATAACTAGAAGTTTGTCCATTGATTCTGTCAGTGATAACTATTATTGGCCAAGGTGTGTTTAAAATCTTATTTATTTATTTGATTTTTCGAGACAGAGTTTCTCTGTGTAGCTTTGGAAGTCTGTCCTGGAACTCACTCTGTAGACCAGGCAGGCCTCGAACTCACAGAGATCTGCCTGCCTCTGCTTCCCAGGTGCTCGGCGTGCGCTACCACCTCCCGGCAGAAATCTTCCATTTTTGCCTGTGTGTGGGCACATGTGGGTTTGAACACACACACCTTCCACTGAGTTTAATTTCTACCTCCTTTTAAGAAATAGTGTAAGATTTTTAGTTCTAAATTTTATGTACTTTTTGTTTAATTTATTCTATTTTGATTTAGATTTTTTTAAGACAGGGTTTTTCTTTGTAGCCCTGTCTGATCTGGAACTCGCTCTGTAGATCAGACTTGACCAACTTGGTGCTGAACCCAGAGATACCCCTGTCTCTGCCTCCCAAGTACTGGCGGGGTTAAAGGCGTGCACCACCACTACTGGCTAGGGTTTTATTATTTTTTATGCTGTTAGAAGTAGAAGTTAGTGTGTAGAGCATTGGTTCTTAATCTGTGGATCTTGAACCCTTTGGGGTCAACCAACCCTTTCAAAAGGGTTACATATCAGATACCTTGCATTTATTTACATTGCGATTTACAGCAGTACCAAAATTACAGTTATGAAGTCGCAACAAAAAGAAATTTTTGGTTGGGGCCACTACAACATGAGGAACCTAATGGTATCATCATTAGGAAGGTTGAGAACCACTGGTGTAGGGAGATGACTCAGCATTTAAGAGCACTTAACTTACTGCTCTTCTAGAGGACTTAGGTTTGGTTCTTAGCACCAGCACCTGTGCATAACTCCAGTTCCAGAGGATTGGGCGCCCTCTTCTGTCCTCTGCAGGCACCAGACACACAGTGGTACACATAATACATGCAGGCAAGAAACTTAAGTCTTCTAAAAAAGTAGAATCAGGTGATGGAAAGATTTGTCAGTGGATAAGAGCATTGACTGCTCTTCCAGAGAACACTGGTTTAAATTCCCTGCACCCCACCTGGTGATTTAGAACTGTCTGTAACTCTGCCTATAATTCTGTCAGTGATAACTATTATTGCTCAAGGTGTGTTTGAAATCTTTTATTTTCACCTGTATGTGGGTACACGTGGATATGAACACACACACCTTCCACTGAGAAGGGCTGCCATCTTCTGCCCTTTGAGGCACCTTAATTAACCTACCTAGAACCTCCACCATAATCTTTGGTGACGAAAGCAAACATTCTTTTTTTTTTCTGAGGCATGATCTATTTTGTTCAGTGTTGTTTCTACCTTACAATCCTTCTGCTTTAGCATGCAAGTAATCTGGTATTAAAGGCACATGACACAGCCAAAGCAGACTTGTTTGTTTTGTTCTTTGTCTTGAGAAGTAATTCAGTATTTTACCTTTAAATACATTGCTATCTAAATTATTACACGTGGTGATATTTTGTGTATGATGTAACAAATAAAGGTTGCCTGAAGATCAGAGTGCAAAACTAGCCACAGCAGTTAGCCATAGAGGCCAGGCAATGGTAGCACACACCTTTAATTCCAACACTTGGGAGACAGAGGCTCTGTTATAGATCTCTGTTAGTTTAAGGCTACCCTGGGCTATATGAAATTGATCCAGTCTAAAAGAGAAACAGAGCCAAGAGGTGTGGCTCAAACCTTTAATCCCAGTATTTGGGAGTCACAATTTTAATCCCAGTGCTGAGGAGGTGGAGACTGGAAGGGATGTGACTGGGAAATAAATGACAGGAGCTCATTGCAGTCTGAGGACAGGATCACCCTTTGGGACTGAGGCAAAAACTCTCTAGTGGCTGGCTGCTCTGCTTCGCTGATTCTTCAACTTTCACCCCCTGATAGCTGACTCCAAATTCTTATTTTTAAGACCAATTAGATTTCATGCTATGATTATATAAATATACAAACATTAGCTATGGAATTTTTGGGATAGTCCCTTATCAGATTGAGGTATTGAGGTTTTTGTTGTTGTTAAATTTGGAGACCATAGTTCTGTTTTCTGGGTTAGCTTTTACCTTGTTATCTTCCTGCTCTGCTTTCTGATGTGCTGGGAGCAATTGCGCCTGATTAAGAGTATTAGTATTTTTTTTTTAAAAGATCTTTTGGGGGCTGGAGAGATGGCTCAGAGGTTAAGAGCACTGACTGGAGAGGTGGCTCAGTGGATAAGAACACTAGCTGCTCTTTCAGAGGTCCTGAGTTCAATTCCCAGCAACCACATGATGGCTCACAACCATCTGTAATGAGATCTGGTGCCCTCTACTGGCCTATAGGATATATGTAGGCAGAATACTGTATACATAATAAATAAATCTTTTTTTTTTTTTTTTAAAGATCTTTTGGGTAAATTGTTACTGTATACTTGAGGAAATCAGTTGTGTAAATTAATGTATAAGGAGCCAAGATAAATTGTTTTTATGCTATTGAAATTTCACTAGAGAGATTAGATTTATTTGTATGTGTTTATATGGATGCATACATATGTCCATCACCTGTATAGATAGGGATATGCATACAAGTATATATTTCTTTGCAGAAAAAAAAGACAAAAATTTTAATGAATAGTGAAAAGTTCTAAAATCTAGAATCATTTCCCTTAAATGGCTGTCATTTGCTTTTACATGACCAAATTGAATAGCCTCTTGATTAGAAATATACTTTGAGTAAATTATTGAACTTGCATTTCAGGCAAAAGGATGCCACGAAGAAAGAAAAAAATTAAAGAAGCCTCTGAAAGCCATAACTCGGAGAAGAAGGATCGAGAAACCACCAGTCCTGTCAGTATAAAGAAGAAGCGTAGACTTGAGGACTTATTCATAGTGATATCTGATAGTGATGGAGAGGTCAGTATTTGACATGGAGTTGTAGGTCTCAGGCTAGGCCTCTTTACCCACAAGGGTTTGTTTCAGCTGTACCTTCACACTAGCTTGCTGACTTTGTGCAGTTTTTCTTAATTTTCTATAGATTTCTAAGTGAAATTATGGGTTATTTAAAAGAAAATAGCTATGCTGTTTGCTGGGGATAAATTATAGTTTTCCTTTTTATAATATGTTAACCCAATATAATATTTTAGAACTCCTAAATTGAACCAAATATAAAGTGTAATTTTTGTGTGTTTGGAAAGTAAAGAAAATGCAAAAGCTGCTTGGGCTGGAGCTTGGGCTTTGTACATGCTAGGGAAGCACACTCTCAACTGAGCCAATAAGGTGCATCATGTGGAAAGGCTTCTAGGAGAGAGATTTTTCTAGATTTTAAATTTTCTCCTTCATTTACCGTTTCTCTTTCTTTCTTTTTTTTTTTTTAAAGATTTATTTATTTATTATGTATACAACATTCTGCCTCCATGTATGCCCGCACACCAGAGGAGGGCGCCAGATATCAATACAGATGGTTGTGAGCCACCATGTGGTTGCTGGGAATTGAACTCTGAACCTCTGGAAGAGCAGCCAGTGCTCTTAACCTCTGAGCCATCTCTCCAGCCCCCTCTTTCTTTCTTTTTTACCTGCCTGTTAGATCAGAATCAGTGCATGATGAGCCAAGCCATTGTCAATGGGAAAAGCATTCATTTTTCTCTGACTATAAATTTTAGAATTGCTTTTGATTCCTTTTTTCATCTTTTACCCCATATTGATTGCCACATGCTTTAGGTTTTACCTCTTCAGTAATCTCAGATCGGTTTCCATTTCCATTTCTTTGCCTGTTCATCTGTTATGTAGATTTTTTTCAATAGAGTACATGTCTCTTCTGCCTTGTTTTTTCTCCCTACATTTCATTTCACTTATTGCAACTATTTACTTAGGTATGTGTCTGTGTGTGTGTGGGGGGAGGGGGTGTTTGTTTGTATGCCCCTATTCACATGCATGGAAGGCACGGCATGAACATCTTTGGCTCATCACTGTAGACACTTCCGTATTTCGGTGTGTTCTTCTGTTCTTTTTACTTATTGCCACATTGCTGTATTTGTTTTACTTTCCTTTGCTTTTCCTTAGTTTTCTTTTTAAATTTAAATTTTCTTTTTTCTTCTTCTTTTTTCTTCTTTCTTCTCTTTTTGGTTTTTCAAGACAAGGTTTCTCGTAGTTTTGGAGCCTGTCGTGGAACTAGCTCTTGTAGACCAGGCTAGCATTGAACTCACAGAGATCCGTTTGCCTCTGCCTCCCAAGTGCTGGGATTAAAGGTGTGTGCTATCACCACCTGGCTTGAAATTTTAATTTTCTTATTGAAAAATAGACCTTTTTCATACAATATACTCTTTTTATAAGATTTCACCTCTCCTAGCTCCTTCCGGATCCTCTTGAATTCCTCACCACTCAAATCCACACTCTTGCCCTATCTCATTAGAGTACAAGCTAGCATCTAAAAATTAATAAAGTAAAATAATAACAAGCTGAAATAGGATGAAACAGAAGAAAAAGAACCAAAGAAAAAGTCCACGAAACATATAGATGCTGAGACATACAAGTTCATACACAGAAATCCTTTAAAAACACAGCAGGAAAACTGTAATGCATACCCAAAAGACCTGTAAGGACAAAAGAAAAATAGTGCCCAAACAAAGCATTATGAGACAGAGAACCTCCAAAAATGCCTTTGAGTTTGTGTGCATTTTCTACTGCTGGGCATGGGTCTGTTCTTAAGAGTGTTTTGTGTACCTAGTGAGACTCTGTTGGAGAAAGCTGACTTTTCCTTTCTGAGTGGTTATCAATTGGAGATAGCTTCTGGGTAGGGATGAAGACTTGTTTCCACTTTTCCTCTCAGCACTGGGACCCCAACTGGCACAGACCTGTGCAGGCCCCATGCATGCTCCACAGTCTCTGAGTTCATGTGTGCTTTAGTCCTGCTGTATTTGAAAGGTGCTGTTTTCTTGGTGTTCTCCACCCTCTCTGGCTCTTACAAGTTTCCCTCCTCTTCTTTGGCAGGGTTCCTTGAACTCTGAGGGGAGGAATTTGATGCGACATCTCTTTTAGGACTCGGTGTTGCAAGATCTTTTGCTCTCTACACCTTGTTCCATGTGGGTCTCTGTTTTTATTCCCATTTACTGTAGAAGGAAGCTCTCTGAGGATGGCTGAGCAAGACGCTGATCTGATTCCATGCTTGTGTGACCCTTTTCCTTGGTTTATGTGTGTATTCTGTGAATATACCATGTGAGTTGAGGTACCAGAGAAGGCCAGGAGAGAGTGTCAGATCCCTTGGAGCTGACTGATGTGAACCACCTGATATGGGTGCTGAGAACTGAACTGTAGAATAAGAAATGATTCCAGCCACTGAGCCATCTTTCTACACTGCCCCCACCATTTAGCTTTTTTGGAATTTAAAAGATACTTTAAAGACTGTTGTAGGATATTAAGAAGCAGTTGGTATTAGGAAGAACAACTTTTTGACTTTGTCGGTTGAAAATCAGTATGAGCTGGGTGGGAGTGGATGTCTTTAATCCCAGCACTTGGGAGGCAGAGGCAGGCGGATCTCTGTGAGTTTGAGTCCAGTCCGGTCTATAGAGCTAGTTCCCGACAGCCAAGGCTGTTACACAGAGAAGCCCTGTCTCGTAAAACAAACAAAAAGAAAATTGGTATAAATTATTCCATATTTCTTCTGACTTTTGTATTGCCTATTATGCTTTTCAACTTGAGTGCTAGTCAGCTCTTTTGATTTCCATTGTAGACCTTCTAGTACTAGGTCAGTTTCCTGATATTTTTTGGTCCCATAGAATTTTTGCTTATATTAAAAAATTTTAATGTTATATTTTAATTATTTTCTGTGAATGTGTATAGGTGCATGCTTGTGGAGGCTAGAGAGCAAGTTTTTGGAGTTGGCTCTCTCCTGCCATCTGGGTTTGGGGGTTGGACTCAGATCGTCTGGCTTGGTAGCAAGCATATTTACCTCTGAGCCATCTTGCTGACCACTGCCATGCTTGTTTGTTTTTTTGTTTTGAGACATAGAGTTTCTCTTTGTAGCCCTGGTTGTCCTGGAACTTGCTTTGGAGACCAGACTGACCTCACTGAGGTCTGCCTACCTCTACCTCCTGAGTATTGGGATTAAAGGCATACACCACCACCACTACCACTGGGCTCAGATAATTTTTATTTTTTGTTTTTTTTTTTCCCCGAGATAAGGTTTCTTCAGCTTTTTTGGAGCCTGTTCTGGAACTCGCTCTGTAGACCAGGCTGGCCTCATACTCACAGAGATCTGCTAGTATGTATGTGTTCTTGCATGAATTTATGTGTATCTCATACATGCAGGTGCCTGTGGAGTCCAGATGGTGTCAGATCCCCTGGAACTGGAGTTACAGGCATATTTGAGCTACCTGATATGGGCGCTGGGAACCAATCTTTGATCCTTTGTAAGAGCAGTGTTTTTTTTTTTTTTTGTTTATTTGTTTTTTAAATAATTTGTTTTCATTTTATTTGCACTGGTGTTTTGCCTATGTATATGCCTGTGTGAGGGTGTCAGATCTTGGAGTTACAGACAGTTGTGAACTGCCACGTGGGTGCTGGGAATTGAACCTGGGTCCTCTGAAAGAGCAGTCTGAACCATCTCTCCAGCCTACAGTAAATATTCTTAATTGCTTAAGTATGCTTAATTGCTGAGTTAACTCAGACTCCAGGTTTTACTTTTTTTTTTATTATTTATTTGTTTGTTTATTTCAAGACAGGTTTCTCTGTAGCTTTGGAGCGCCTCCTGGAACTAGCTCTTATAGACCAGGCTGGCCTTGAACTCAGAGATCTGCTGAGTGCTTGGATTAAAGGTGTGGACCACCACCACCTGGCCAAATTTTATTTACTTTTAATGATTCTTCTTGACCCCCCCCTTTTTTCTCTCAGTATTTTGAGACAGTCTTACTATGTAGCTCTGACCAGCTTAGAACTTTTTTTTAAAAAGATTTATTTATTATGTGTATAGTGTTCTGTATGCATGTATGCTTGCAGGCCAGAAGAGGGCACCAGATCTTACTATAGATAGTTGTGAGAAATTGAACTCAGGACCTCTGGAAGAGCAGTCAGTGCTCCTAACCTCTGAGCCATCTCTCTAAATCCTAGAACTTGTTTTGTAGACCAGGCTGGCTTTGAATTAACAGAGATCTTCCTGCTTTTGTCTAGCAAGTGTTTAGGTTGAAGGTATGAGCTAGTGTGCTTAGCTGTATTTAAATATTTCTTGAAGAAAATGTATTACCTGGGGTATAAGTCAGTGGTCAAACATTTGCCTAGCATGAATAAAGGCCTTCTAGGTTTGATTGCCAGCATTATAAAACACAAAACCCACTATATGTAGTGGTGCAAGCCTTTAATCCTAGCACTGGGAGGCAGAGGCAGATGTATCTCTGTGAGTTCATTTCCAGTCTGGTCTACATGAGTTCCAGGACAGCCAGGGCTACAGAGAGACCCTGTCTCAAAAAACAAAACAAAGCTAAATGCAAAAAACAAGTAACCTGCTGGGCAGTGGTGGCATGCATGTCTTTAGTCCCAGCACTTGGGAGGCAGAGGCTGGCAGATTTCTGTGAGTTCAAGGCCAGCCTGATCTACAATAGCTAGTCCAGCACAGGCCCCAAAGCTACAGAGAAACCCTGTCTTGAAAAACCAAAAGAAAAAAAATAGCTCCCACAAAACTCATAAGTACCCAAGAACTAAGGTACTCAAAACAAAAAGTACCCAAGAAACCAATAAAATGTTCTGTTTTCTGGTATAAAAGAGGCCCGGGAATGCCTTCTTTTTAACATGGAAAGGTGATAACGTAGTCATGATATAATTTGGGCTTTAGTTCTCCTGCCATCAGCATACATTCTCTCTTGGGTTGGCTCCAGTCCATGCTTTCAGCTCTCTTCATCCAATGGTCCTTGCACCTCCAATATTCT